ATGCTACTTGCTGGAAGCCAATTCACAAGGTTTGGGGATCTGGATGAAAGAGATATATTCACCTCCTGTTCTTTATATTAAAACAAATATTACTGCTAAAATTGTTGCTTGAATGCATCAAGGATATCTCCAAGACCCTTAAGAAGACATTCAAAGAAAGGTAAGTAAAATGCTTTAGGTCCTAAAATAGAAAGTCAAGGCAAAACAAGATAATGAAAATCAGCTGATGACTTACGGACTAATGATATGAAGACAGGTTTGGGGTTTTAGAATGCGCTCATGAAAAACGGATTCTTCTTGACAGAGAGACTGTGGATATACCTTAATGGCTGATATACACGGTAAAAGGTACTTAAAATAAGAAGAAATGAGGAAGAAATTTGTTAGGACTAGTGCAAGCTCCACAGGCAGTTTTAATGCACAAAAAGCAGAAAATATGATAAATGGAGATATGGTAATGAATAACACAGGATGTTGAACAGTAAAATGAAAGAGAGCTGTAATTCTGATGAGGGTAGTAATCAAGACATGCAGTTAATGAAAGTTTGATATCTAATTTATTTAAGAAAATTAGATGATTTCCCTGAATAATGAGTGAAATGTTATATATTAATGCAATGAACTTGACCACTAAAATAAATAAGCTAGAATTACTGGGGCAAAACATAGATCTGCACCTTCAAACACAACATAAAATTATTAAATAGTAATCACACCTGAAGTATAGGTATCAAAAGATAATTTATGTATGTATGCAGTTAATGAAGTTAGTTGAACTGAAAAGTGAGATCTAGCAAAGGAAATAAAAACAAAATAGTGAAATGTTATTTAGCCATATTCATTACAGAAGAATAAGCAAAGGACTATGTACACTATACACTGAATATGAGAAGACAAACTAAGTATGCCCTTACAATAAAGTAAAAACTCTACCTCAGTTTTTTAATAAGAATGGTGATATACAGTGTTTGGGAAATGTCAGGATTGCTGAAAAGCATGGCAAATTTAAAACAGAAAATCAAAAATGGAATGAAAAGTGCAAATTAAAGCCCATCTATTATACTCCAAAACAATAATAAGTAAAGTTTTTGAACACATTTGAGTGAATGGACACTTCTTTCCAGGTATACACGGGGAAAGAGAAAAAAAAAATCCAATTTTAGTTTGCTGAAGATAGATACACGACACAAGATATCTGGACTGGCATTGTTCAAGTACCTGATGTCCACTGTCAAGATGATAACTCATCTTTGCAGGCAAGCAAAGTACAGTGGTTCTAATCTATCTGAGCATGATATGAGAAATTAGGAGTTAAAATGGAGAAGTTGATTAGTGCAAAAGCAGTAGAGTGACAAAATAGCTAGCTGGGTGGGAAATTGTAACAGTTTGTGTTGAAAGGAGAGGTATTAATTTACAGAGGTACTAGTAAGTTTCTCAGGAATCAGTGCTGGGATTTATCTCGATTTCATATTTTCATTTATAAATTGCATAAAGTAGAAAATTTCTGTAATATAGTTGCTAAGAATTATCAAAACATAAGATGATCAGAAATTCCAGAGTAGTAGAAAAGGGATAATATATAGCACCATTAAAAAATAAAAATTTAATTTCAATGCATTTAAACACTAATATCAAGAATTAACGCTACGAGAAAGGAATTTATCACTTAGAAAAAGTAGAGAAGAAGAAGCATCTGTATATATCTGTTGACACAAAAGTAGGGGGTCACGGATATGATGCATCAATGTGACTGTAAGATGTACTAGGAGAGCTGTTTCTAGAAATAAAAATTTTACTCTCAGTATCCATGAGTCTAGAGAGACATTCTCTGAAATGCTGCATAAAGTTCTGATTACCCATACTGAAAAAAGATTAATTGAAACTGAATATATCCTGAGAAAGAAAACCATCATGATTAGAGGAAATGGAGAGAATGTCTTATGTAGGAGAAGTTGAGAGAATATCTGATTGTTGTCTATAGACAGCATGGAGAAAAAAAGGCATATTTAAGTAAAGCACAGTGATGGCTTTGGGATGCATGAATGTATACTAATCATGACTAGATTTAGGATAGAAATTAGAAAATAATTAAGACAGAAAATAGAAGAAGGCCTCAGGCTTTAGAACGTCTTTCCAGTGTAAGCAGTAACGACTGCAGCTGAACAAGTTTTAATATGAGATTTAGGCTGAACAAGTTTTAATATGAGTTTTAGTCAAAAAATAGAATGATTTACATATTTATGTGACTGTCTTCTAGCAAGGGGCCAAACTAGATAAACTGAAAGTCCCTTCCTGTGGTCTATATGCTGTGTTGGCTATTTCTTTTTTAATACTCACAAGAAAAAACTGAATTCCTTCTAGAAAAAGGTATTTCATCACTCTGTATAAAGCCTTTAAACGCTTGATGAATCTTTTTCTAACTTGTTTTTTACACATTATTCAATATACTTGTCACTTTCAAATGTATTTTATATTGTGTAGTTCAGAAAGATTCTCAGTTAATTTACAGAATTAAGGAAAATGTATAAGTAGTTCAAGTTACTTCTCATGGTGTTTTTCCTTCTGCCCATCAGTGTGTTCTTCTAGTTACCTCTCTGTGAGGTTCTCTCTTCAGTAGTCTCCAGTCTCACCTAACGAAAGTGATTTTATTTTCTCTGCATATCTCAGCCACTCAGTATTCTGTATCTTCCCTGAACCAACCATTAATGAATCTATAAACCTTATGGACCCTATGGATTATTGAAACAGCTCGCTTAACCTTTTGTCCTGCTCTACACTGACTGCTTTATTCCTTCTCTTTGAGTTTACATAGGTCACATCACTGAAATCGAGAGTAGATCTTTCAATGAATGTAACAGTTATTTCACCCTTGCTGTGGTCTCTGCTAATCCTAACCAATGGCAGTACCTCACATCTCACTTTTTGATAGCTCGGTTTGCTCAGTATTCCTACAATAAGCATCCAATTAAGGACTTTTGAAGGTCTGAACAAATTGAAGTCAACTGGGTGCTACGAATCCATTATAAAGACTGTAAGTGATTGAGGCTTATATCTACCTGTCAATTTGCTTATCTGTTTTCCCAATAATATTAACATTTAGGCTTTATTTAGGGCCTAGAAGCCTGATACACAGAATGCTATATGGCATTTAGGTGAATTCTACTGCTATACAATTTCAAGTTCCATTTTCAAGCATAGGTTTTATTTCTGAATTGCCATGTAAACAGATGAAAAAATATCATTGAGATTCTTCATTTGGAGCATTCATAAAACACCACTGAAGGACACTAAAGAATGTGGAGATTGGTGGAAGGACATCAGACGCAAGGCCAGTAGCCAATATCACAATGTTGTCTTAGGGTTGTAATGATAGTTTATTAGGTAGAATATAACACTGCTTCATACAACAGAAACTTATCAGTTATTTATGAGGACATATAGCTGCCATTGGACTCTTAAGGAGCATTGAAGAGTAGTTCCAGGTTTCCCACCTGTACTGCAAAGCCCCTTTGCTCCAGGATCCCACTTCTACTTCCCTCCTCGTGCCTTGATTTCCTCAGGGAAACAACTAAGACATATGGGCCACAAGGGAGCTGTGGTAGGCTTTGATTAGGTCTCCAGTCTGGAAAGCTGAAGTACCATGATCCAAGGTTTATCAGAGTATGTACATGCCATTTCCTGTAGATACAGCCTCCGAGAGTATAGATTGGCCAAATTCTCATACTCTAATGGAACAATAGCACCTTACTTCTTCAGAGGCGTCTCTGACTTGAGAGACGGTAAAGTAAGGTACTGTGTAGTACTGGGGATTAAAATATAGCCACAAAACCAAAATACTCATACTAACCAATATATATTAAATATTTTCCATTTTTGTATTTAAAATAATTTACTCAAAATTGTAAGCTCTATACAATGTATAATACACACACAGGATATGAAAAGATGATGTAAACAGATATCCAAAATAATTCTAACAGTAGATCAAAAGATCCTGAAACATAATAAATAATAGCCCTAAGATTCTCTTAATGTAACATATGTATAAAAAACAAAAGGAATATGGATCACCTTTATAGTACGGAGGTTAAAAAGAACACAGTGAATTAAAATATGTACTGTATGTAGAATGATTTTAAGAGTAAGCTGTGCTGCCTCAGAAGGAAATGCGGCAATGGCAGTCAGGAAGTCCACTGACACATGGTCTCCCTCCTCAGTTACTGTGGAATCCCAGCAGTAATAAATATGTTCCTTACCCAGTATTCTCTGGGTAAAAGAGGTAATCTCTTTGGGGGATGGATGATCCCATGTAAAGTCTGAAAGATCACTTTACTCACCTAACTATTCTGAATTTGGCCTTTAAAAACTGAAATAGCTGGTCAATATTTTTAATCCATATAAAATTAACATGACTACTATTTGCTATTTTTCATTGTAGTACGGCATTCGAATAGCATTTTCTACTTTTCATTGCAAATTAACCATCTCAGTTGATTTTTTTCTGGGCAAAGCAGTTATACTGAAAGCTAATTATCAAATTTTTTCTCAAATGTTATGAAATACAGGAACTTAGAACTTAGGCAGGTATTTCAAGTTTCAACTGTTTGTCCTAACAAGCAGTAGTCGTTTCTCTATGAAAAAGATGGTTGGAATATTACTCAATATCTTTAAGTAGATAAGATTTCTGAGGAAAACTTTTTTTCTAACCAATAATCACTCTCTTAGAAGAATAGCTATTATCCTGCACTGGTTTCTACCAAAATTCTCAGTAATTCTCTGTCTTTTAGCAATGACATAAAATTGTAATTAGTATTTATCTAGTCCTAAGCTGTCTTCGCATTGGGAATTTTGCTTGGGTGTGGCATTCAAGAGTTTATTTTGTGATTAAATTTTTTCGGAAGATGTTCTCTTCAAGGTAATGTTATAGAGCTCCCAAGATCTTTATTACATATCTTTCTTTTCTTTGCTGTTTCCATTGTCCATGGCACAAAAGTAAATACCTTCTTCATCTGCCCCTGTAGGATAGACATTTTCATTTTTCAGAATTTCAGAGGCATTATGTTCGACACTATTTAAAGAAGTTTCACATTTCAGCAATATTTCAGAATGACAGGCTTCTGCTGGATCTGTCAACAAGGGAGACAATTTTTCTTCAACAATATGAATTAGGCTTATTCTTAAGCTTTGGCATATTTTTTGTTTTGTATCTGGTAGCTCACTGTTTGGACCTACTGCTACATCACTAAGTGTATGTTTAGATACACTATTTTGGCAGTTGCTGATCTCCACAGGATTTACCTTCATATCCTCTACAAAATGTAACTTCCCTAAATTGCTTCTGTCTTTCAGGGTTGAAGATGTAAGTACTCCAAAGTTATTAACGAAATCTAGCATGTTATTAGCATAAAACCTATTAAAAATATTATTGGCAATCTTACTGATACAGTTACCCTTCATAGTCACACGATGATTTTCATCTTTTATTAAATCTTTGCCTGACCATGGTAAATGTTGACTCTTCTTGGCCGATAAACACAGACCTAGCTGGTTCTCAATGTCAGATGCCTTTTGGTAGGCGTATCCTCTCTGTTCCTCATTAATTGGTATTACAATTGCCATCAGTATTGGACAGTGTTGGCCACATATCGCATGGAGCTTATCCAAAGAGTCTTCTTCCTGAAGAGCACTTCTGTTAGCATTACTGACATCAGTTGGCTGAGACTGTATTGGTTCGTCACTTAAAGGCTGTTCTAATGGATGCACCTTGTTATCAGGCAATCTAAATTCCACAGATGTAAAGGGTGGAAAACTGGTACTAGTCTCCGTGGAAAGACATTTGGAAGTAGAACATACCATTACCGATGGGTTGATCTTTTCTTTGTTTCCTACAGGAAGAGAGGTGATTTTACAATTGAGGCTAGGTTTGTTTTTTGTACTCAAATCATCTGGAAAAGGGTCTGAATCACTATTATGAGGTACATTGAAATAGTAACAAACGTTTTCAGAGGGTTTAGCCATGTCTTCAAGTTCTGAAGAAGAGATTTCATTGAGGACTGGATATTGAGTCAGATTGCCAAAGTGTGAGTACGGAGCATCTTCGCTATTAGTATCAAACACTGTGTCTGTTGATGTTGTATCCAAATTACCATACATTCCAATCCTTTCAGGTGGTGATCTTCTGATCAAATGATTTTCTTTAAGAAGCCATTTGCCGTTATCAATCAATATTCCTTCATCTTCATTAGGATGTATACTAGGTTGACAACAGTGCTTTCGAGATTCCCCTGAGCAGTTATTAGTACAAGTTGTTTCTTCTCCTTTAAGAGTAGGTTGTGGCGCTGGTAAAGAAATATTTTCTCTTCTCCTCATAATGTCATCTTTGCTTACGTTTTCTGGAAATTCTTGTGATGGCAGTGGATGTGACAATTTCTCTGCAGAATAAGACCTAGGTTCTTGAAAAAAAGAAACTTTCTTTTCCACCACTGTAGAGTGGAATACTTCAGTATCCTTTTGAAATACTTTGGACATATAAGGAACTCCTGTGTGAAAGTGAGGCTTAAACGAAGCTTCTGTCTTACCATAAAGTCGTTCAATAGTCCTTTTTACATAGCCAGTATTATAATGTTTTTCAAGTACTGCTTCCTCTCCGCTTTCATTGGTCAAATCACTGGATGCTCTAAAGTTATAATCACTCTCTTCACTGTCAGGTCTGTAATCTGACCAGTCTGACGTAGCAGGACTTTTTAAGCATTTTTTTAATTGAGAAGTATCTGAACATGTTCTATTCTCCAGTGCTTCTACTTGCGATTTCTGTTCTCCTTCACTTACATCACATTCTGTAATTTGCTTAGATTCATAACAAAAAGACAATGGAGAGGGGGTAGATAACCTCTCAGAAGTTTCCTCATGCGTTTCTGTGTCTTTCCTCCCTTCCTGTGTAGAATCATCCTCATAATCATATTCTGTAGAGGTGTCAGAAGCTTGTTTAAGTTGGTTATTTGGCTTTTCATCATCATCTGCTGACTTTGGGCCAACTTTCTCATCTTTGTTTTTATTGGTAGTAATATGTATGATATCTTTTTCATCTTCTACCTCAGAAGTAACCTGATCTAAAATACGATTTTTGTCATTAGAAGTTACACTATGAACAGTCGAGTTAGGCTCTACTGAAGTTCCTGACTCTTCATTACTGAGTGATGCATCAGCGTTTTCATCTTGAGATTGCTGTAATGAGTCATCAGCCATTTCTTCATTTCTTTCAGGTGGCTTTACAGCTGACGGAAGGCTACAATTATCTGAATTATTTTTACCATACAGCAGTGTTTTGGGAGCACTGAGGTCATTTAGATCTGAAGTCTCTGTTGCTATATAAAGCTCTTTCTGTATATCAGAACAGCTCTCTAATTCACCAGCAAATTTTTGAGCTTCTTCAGAATTTATACTGTCCTTTGGAAAATTGGATGCAACTGAGTTTTCATTTTTATGCAAATGTATACCACTATGAATTTCAGATACGGGCATATTTTCATGGCAATGTGTAGAGTCCTGGTTTTTGAGTTCCCTCCCAGACTGCAGTAAGTTATTTTCTGTTGATTGTTCAAAATGCGAAACAGCACCCTTCAATTCGTCAATTTTTTCTATGACTGTAGTTTGTTTCAGAAATGGTAACTGTGCAAACATTTCTGAACAGCTACAGGTAGTTTTTTGCATATCATCTTTGATTGTGCCAACCAAACTCTCTCTCAGATTCAGTACAAGTAGCCAAGCTATGAGGAGATTGCAGGAAGAACCAAAAACTGAAGGAGAAAGATCTGAAAGGCTGCATGCTTTTCCTATACATCCACTGTGTTCTTTCTGGAGACCAAGCAAAGCTGATTGTAATTCATGCAGCAACGTGCTAGACAGACAATTGTTCTGAACCTCAATTCCCATTTTCTCACCGACAACCGGAGAATCAACTTGAACAGCAACTTCAGAACTTTTTCTTTGATACAGATTGGTATCTTGAACGTCAGCTTCTGCCTTCTTTTTATCTTTGTCATGTGCTTCATGAAACAGCAGCAGTTTAGTGCCATGATGGAAATCTGACTGTCGTAAATAGTTAGCTTCTTCTATTATAGCTGTATTAGCATTAATCAAAGAGTCAGTTTGTCTTCCACATGAATGTTTTGCTGATTCTTCAATAGCTCCCAATTCACAAAGAGGCTTTAATGTTTTTTTGGTTAGATTATGTTCAATCAGATTATTTTTTCTTGTCACATGCACTTTGTTTGTGATAAATCTAGTTTCTTTGCCAATAAAAGTATCAATATTTTCTTTAGGAAAAGGACAGGCATTGGTGTTCTCTACATTGCCTTCTTTTTTGTTTATGGGGGGTAAGACAGCATTCGGTAACAAGTTTTTCAGCCAAGTTTGAACATAATTTTCAGGTGAATGCTCGGCAACCTCATCTTGAAAATCCCCCTGTTTCAGAAGCTCTAGTGTAAGGGCTCTCTCTGACATACTTAATTTACTTGCTGCTTTACTTAGATTCTTCTTAATTCTCTTTTGTTTTTTCTCCTTTTTTGATGATGAATTTTCCAAAATATTATTCTCCTTTTCTTTTTCTAAGTTATGATCCTTTGACACTTCCGACAATGGCTTTGATATCTTTGATGAATTAGGTGTTTGTTCAAAAGAATTAGTTGTGAGATGTGTGCCTTCCTTCTCAATACTCACTATATCTCGACCATGTTCAGTTTCAGTTTTCGAATCAACTATCATTAGACTATCTTCATGCTTTGCAGAGAAAACTAAATTATTTTTTTTGCCTGACTTTGCTTTTACTTTGGTCAACTGCCTATCAGCTCTTGTTTTCTTATTAGATGATAATCCATTTTGTTGGTGTTGCACCGAAACCTGGTGACAAAACTCATCTTCAGGATGTATGCTTTTGTCTGAATTAACAGAGCCATCACTAGTTTTGACAAAAAATTCCATTCCTTTTTTCTGAGGCATTTCAGAATAATTTGCAGCCTGTATTGTGGAATTCTGTGTGGTTTTGCTTGTGATATATGTTGCCTGACCTTTAATTATCCCTAAGAATTCTTCATCTTTTTGATTTTCATGTATACCTTGCTCTAGAAAGTTAGACAATGATTTTCTCTTCTTTTTGGTGAGAGGAGGTACAGGCTGGCTTTCATCAGTGGGATGTGTTGCCGTAACAGATTCAGTTCTGGAGCCGATTTGATTCTCACTTTCAGTAACAGTAGGAAAGAATCCAGTTATTGGATTTATTTGCTCAATGGGAGCCTTACTACTTGGAGTAGTCATCATCTCTATCTGACTATGTCTGGGACAGGCTGAATGCATTGAATCTTGAACCTTGAGTCTTGAATTCATTGAATCTTGAGAAAAAAATAATAAATCAGAAGTTTTACACTTTCTTTCTTCATTTTTTGACTGGAATAATTCTGAATAGCTAATGAAAGAACTTAGTGATCTTTTTATTTGTTTAATATCACATAGCTCCTGGATATTGTCTGCAGAAACTGGCCTAGTTCCCTGGTAAATTTTTGATGATGGTGTGAAACCACTGATGTTACCTTTGCAGGTTGATACTAAACCATTATATGTATCTTGTTCTATAACTAATTTCTCTAATATTTTCTTCAACAATTCGTCCTTATCAGGCACATCTAATGTCTTCCTGTTTGAGGTGTCTATTAAATCATGACTCTTGTGGCTTACTTTAAAAAGCATTTCTTCTTTCTTCATATTCTCTGAAGAAAGCTTTAATAAATCATTGTCACTCATTTCACTAAGCTTTGGATTACTAACACTTGATTTTTTGCTGCTTGAATGAGCAACCATACAATACTCAGATTTGCTTTCACCATCCTGTGTTTCCTCACTATAGGAAAACTGTCCTATTGTCTTCTCCTGAACCTCTTTCTCAGATACCAAGGTGACACTTTCGACTACTGCTTTCTTTTGTCTAACACGTCTTGGCCCAGGGGTGGGAGGCCTATAAAACCGAGGTCTTGTTTTATCCTCAGATACATTACTTACATCTAGGTCTGCAGAAGTGTTTATCTGACAGATACTATAATCAGCAGTTTTTAAATCAGACTCTGATTCTTTGTCCGACACTTCTGCACCAAACTGCTGCAGTGAGACTCCTGCTTCATTACTGTAGTTCTCCAAAAACGGAGCCTCTTTTGGTTTTATACATGCTGATACATTTATGTTAGATAAACAGTCTTCTGCACCTCTTGCAGGATCACAAATGTCAATATTTTTGTCATCAGAAAGGCCAGCACGGCTGACTGTGGTTGTCCATTTTATAGTTTCTTCCTCTTTAATTTTGAATCGAACTTTCATTTCCACTGTCATACTGCCATCTTGATTAAGGTGAACAGATTTCTCAATGTCATCTTCATACTGTGCCACAGATAAATCTTCACCAGTAAGTGACTGATTTCCTACTACACCTTTATAATTGTCGGGAGCATAGGAAGAATCTGAGTTGTTATCATTTGTGGTGTTATCATTGCTGGACCCTTTATCAGAAGAAACTGAGAATATCTGAGATCTTGAGCTAGAGGCCTTTTCAACTCTCACTACCAACAATAGCATTGAACAAACATAAATTCATTCAGTAGAGGAAAAGCAGAACAGACAAATATCATGCATAACGATCCAGATGGTGAGACAGCACACAGGCAGCAAAGGAAAGGAAAAGAAGAAAGAAAAAAAATTAGTACAAAAGAACATAACAAAGTTTTCTTTTTTTCAGAGTATTAGAAGAAAAATAACAGTAGATCTAATTTTTCTGTTAATTTTAAGAATTTGTTAAAGAGAGATATATAACCGTATTTTTATAAGGTATCAAAACTGAGCTACTGTTCCATTTTATTTTCTTTAGCAATAGGCCCCTTCTAATGCCAGAGCTATGGTCTCATTTAATGCTCCAAAACCTAAAAAAGTGCTAAATGCTCTTATCCGATGATCAGATGGGAGCTGAGGGTGCCTTGAACCTGTTAAGAGGTGCACAGGCGCTTGCTTGTTTGGGCATCAAGCTTAATAGCTTGAAAACTTTACATCTTCTCTTTACCTTAGCAACCACTAATAAATCAATGCCTATTAGTACCGACAATCAGTGCTAAGGTGTGTCAGTTAAGGTGAAAATAAATCTCTCTGGGCTTAGTCCAACAATCTTCAGCATACGAGTAATCATTACTATGAGTAGTATCACTGACTGGTGATATATGGGGTAATAATAAAGAGTATGGATGAAGGCCCCTGTACTGAACTTCTATAAGGAAATAAACCTTGAAGCACTTGAACTTCTTATGAAATCTGAACTTAAATCATGAAAATCTGAGATACGTTTTATGCTGCAGTACTCTAGAAGATGACCCACAGCTCAATGAAGCCAGTGAGAATACTTCCATTGACTTAAATGAGTTTTGGGGATGGTCCATCATGTGTTTGCATATACATTAATTACTCCTAAAATATGTTTTGATTATTTGTTCACAGCTTTGGCTCTTAAAAAAATCTCATCTCTCTCTATCAGCTGTCACTGAAGATGTAAGAGATTAAAACAGCATGAGGTAAAAATAAATTTTTTTTGTCTTCCAAGTTTTGTATATCTGAGTGAAACAGTGCATGGACATCCACGCAGAGACATTATCCACAACTGTTACTGATACCTAAGTATATAGGAGCCATCATTTTATATAAAGGTTTGGAATATGGAAAGGTATTTCTTCACATTTAATATTAACTTAACTACATTTCTTGAAGTTAAGCATATGCTTTGCTCAAGTGATTCACATAAGGCTTCCTGTCAAGATTTTCATGATTAACATATCACTGTTACAGATGAGTGTTTAGAATTTCAGGGGGAGTGCCTTGCAAGTTTTGCATACATATGCTTCTCCATGAAGTGAATCAGAAATAAAAGTTTGGACTAACTCCCCTAGCAGAGACCAGACCTTTCATTTCCCAAAATAAAAATCTCACCTTCTCTATCTCCAGGAAATGGAATTGGAGCAAAGTCCCTGAAATTTGAAAATTCAGGCTTTCACATCATCTATAATGTCTCTTACATAGGATGCTTTAAATTTCTCCAATTAAAAATACAAACAGGTTTTTCTGGTTTTTGGTTTTTTTCTCTCTTACAGTAATTGCTGTTCACTAAGAGTTAGATGAGGGTACCTATCAGATTAGCTACTCACATTCTAAGTCATTATAAGCCTGGATCTCTGACTGAAAACAAAATTTGGATGGGAATTTTTAATTCTGTAGAATTTTCATTTTCCTCACAACATTCCTATTTTTTCTTTCTTCACTCAGTAGTTGTGCTCAGCAAACAGCCAGCAAAACAACCTGTGCAAGGTGAAGAACATGACATGTGACAAAAGCTAAAATGAATCATTTGATGAGGACGTAATAAACTAGGAGGGATGTGGAAGAAACTCCTTCAAGTAAATGGAAGCTTATGTCTTACATAGCAGTGGGCTCCGTGACCCGGAAAAGATTATCACAGAAAGTCTCAGTACAGAAACAATTTCAGTGTTCCCTTGGCTCTTCAGTACAGCATGTAGCTGTATCAACACCACAAGGTACCTCTGTATTAAGCAAGTTTCCCCTTGGACAGTACCTCTGCCCTGCAGGATGCTCTACTGCCAGGAGGTCCTACATGACCTAAAGCTGTGCTGCTGCAGCATTTTGTTCCCCTCAACCTCAGGATAGATTTGCTCTGTCTCCAACAACTCCTCATGCTCTTGATCTTCCATGGACCACCTCCCATTCTCACTGACCCTTGTCAGTCACACAACTCCATGAGCAGTCAAAGAAAAACTGGTTTTTGCACCATCTTTTCCCAAATGTATCTGAAAAATATACATCATAGCTATGAGGATACGATGTATGTAAGAAAGGATGAAACTATTTTTAGGCAAGACCAGATTCAAAAACATGGTGAGTTTGCGAGTGGCTAAATGCTGTAATGGTTTTCCTGGCTATGTGGAACAATTATGGGAAAAAGTGAAACTCATGATAATGACAAGTCAAACTTTCATCTGTTAAGGTAAGATCTGAAACCTGCACAAAAGATTTGATCAAGAAATTCAGCCAGTTAGGAACTATATTACTCTCTGAAGGAAGCTGTGGGTTCTCTTTTGCCACTGCTGTTACAAACACTGATGCAGAAAAAATAATAGCAATCACAATCAAGTGCATTAAAATCAAATCTATTTAAAGATTTGCATATATGTTCTAAATAAGTTAGTATGACAGAAAATGTACATACCATCCGAGTAGTTAGCTTAAATTTTAAAAAGAAAATCAACACTTTGATCTTTCTTATGCGTATAGAGGAATTGAGCAAAAATAAACTGGCCTTTCAACTGGCCTTTTTGAGTATTCTTGATCCCAGTAAGATTGTCACGGTTTATGTCTTATGCTGAGAGAGATAAACCAATTAATAAAACACAAATTAATTCAAAGAACTTACTTTTTTCATTCTCTGACTTGGCATTCGCTTTTGGGTACACACGATTTGTCATTCCCAGCAATTTAGCAGGTCGTGAATACCCAAGAGGATCATAATTGCTTGGTTTAAAAGGCTCTCTCCCTGCTGCGACTACAGCTCCAGAGCACAATATCAGGGCCTGAAGATTAGGAACCTGGAAAAAAAAGTAACATTAAATTCTCTGCCTTAATAATTACGAGTAATAATGTAAGAGATTTATCCCTTTCATGCTTTAATATCTTTATTTCTTAGTCTCTACAGTAGTTTGCAGCAGACTATTAAATAAGTATCACAGAGCAGAATTAATTTTTCAGTTCCTGTAAGGCAATTCCTGTCTTTGTGAGGGTATGTCTTGTTATATAAACATACTAGAAAAAAATATTTTAAGAAATAACACTTGGATCCAGATTATAATTCTCTCATAATTTAAGTGTTTGCATATAAAATTTTGTTTCATCATTGTACAGTGACCGTGCACAGCCATGAAATAAGAATATGCGTTGGAGGTAGGTATACATGTGAGCAAGCACACAGAGGAAGCGGAGACTCAGAATATGCCGCAAGCTCTTGCACAGTTGCGCTATTTACATTCACTGTGACAGAGGAATAAAGATAGAATCACAGAACAACTTATGTTGGAAAGGACCCTTGGTTATCCTCCAGTCCAGCCCTCAGCTCAAAGCAGGTCTAACTTCAGACTGAGTTATTAGGGGCCTTGTTTAACACAATTTTGAATTTATGTATGAATTTCTGCAAAATATGTTGCAAGATGAGGCTTGCAAAGTGCAATTTGCTGACTTAAAGGTGATATGGACGCTTTCCCAACCTAATACAGAAGTCACTGCTTCGCTACAAAATGGGTAAATACAGTGGATGTCACTTGAGCGGACATTCTGCATGGAATTCCCTCTATAAGTACCTGTTGTTAGGTATAATCACAAATACTGCTCTGTGGTTAAACAACATACAGAATTAGAAAACATGAAGTGAGATAAAATTATACAACACAGTGAACAACATGAAAATCAGGCTTATTATAGCTGCAAAATTTAGGTTTAGAGATACAGAATTTGGTCCATTATTTAGAAACTGTAAGATATAATAAAGTCTCATAGTTCCCACTGATTAATGGCAAAAAGCCCAGCGTTTGCAGAATGATAAAATATCTACTGCTAGATGTTACCTTTATTATTTATAAAACATTAAAAAACATAGAAAGATACCACTCAGACTAAGGGACGTTTCTGTGTAAATGGGCAAAAATAATGAGAGCTTGCCTGAAGAAGGTCTGAATAAGAAAGGGAAAAGCGACTTTTGATAATGACTTGAAATAAGATGTCTTCACTTGCTTCTCTCTGGTTCCAAGATTCACGTACATCTCCTCCACAATAGTAGCCTTTTTGAAGCATAAAAAGGCAACTGCTGAAATTGAGCACAGCAGAACTTAAACATAGGCCAGCCTCCTAATCTCCTAATGGGGTAAATCACTTTTTTAAATTAAAAAGAGCTAGAAGATAAAATGGTAAAATTGTCAATGCTCATCTTTATTCTCACCTTTCTGCCGTCAGTGGTGTATAGCTTCACAACTGGATACTGCATTAACTCACTCATATAATCCAGAAAGGCCTCAAAGGTTTGTGTATTTTTCTTTCCCAGAACTATGGTGCGTCTGAGTCTTACATCACCATTTTTGAAAACAAGCAGCTTTTTGGGCGTTGTTACTTTGCTTTCTCGCTGGCCAAAGCCATCTTCATTCTCCTTTGCTAACTGCACAGCTCGACGACGAGCGCTGACAGGCCTGCTGATCTGCCAGGGCAGTGGTTTTTTCCTAGCCCGTTCAAGGTTGATGGGCTTTATTTTCCTCTGATGGGAACAAATATAAGATTTTCCATCTTCAAGATCCTCCAGATTGGTGATGCTGTGTCTCCCTTTTGGTGTACTAATATTCCTCACTCCAAAAGGTAATGGGACACGTTTCGACAGACTATCGAGCAAGGCATCAAATGTTTTGTAAGACCGATTATTCACGACCATTTTAATCCCATTAAACTGAGGATCTCCACTTTTGTAGAAACAGATCCGTTTGGCCACAACAGGTTCAGTGACATTGAAATGGCGGGTAGATAAAGTCTGCTCACTCTCAGAGGAGTTTGGCTGATTCACTGAGTAACTGGTTGAAGGCGTTTCACTCATTTTAACAACAATCTGGAAGAAAAAGGAGACGGATGCAAAAGTTCTCTCACGGTTAGTAACAATACAGTCTTCATTTTGAAAGGTACAGAAAAAGAATTTGCAAGAAACTAACAGCAGCAAATCGTGCCAAAAATCATATTGGATTTAAATGGATCCAAGCTGTTATCTCTAAATTATACAAAGACTCCAGTACTGTCGGATTAAGTTAGCATAGCTCTACTTGCAACTATTTCCAGAACTCTCCAACGTGATTTAAAATCACTTATTATTTTGGTACAAGAGACCTTTCTCTAGAAAAAGGTACTTTGGCAGTCCACAATGACAATTAGATGTGTTCTTTCTTGAGGATGCCAGTAATGACAACACTTCATACTTAACATATTAGAGAATCTTTATGAGGAGGGAGCAATTTATGCCCAGTTATAAGCCGTATTCAGTCCAAACCAAACAAAACTGAAAGACAATACAATTTATTCTGATCTTGTACATTAGTTTTATACTAGGGAAAATCCATTGGTTTCAGAAAAAAAGGCTCCTGATTTATTACACTATACATTATATCAAAATGAGGCCCAAAACATGTTTTAAAGCTATGTTTCAGTGATTTCACTTAGCAATCTACATCATAAATTGACAGATCATTTGCTTTTCTACTAAAAGTTTTGTATTTCGTGATATATAAATCAACCAGTTGGATATTTGCATTATACTGAGTGCAAACCTACAGATCAAAATTATAGTTTTCTATAATTAAAACTTTTAAATACTGGTCATTTAAACAACAGGTTATTTCTGGCAACTGTATGGCTAGTCTGCATGCTTGAAAATGGAGCACTCTCACTATACTCTGTGTTAAGTCTGATCTACATACAGACACTTTAATGCCATCCTTTTATTGAATAAAATTGCTTTATCTTAATACTTGGCTTGCTTTGACTAGGACATAGGCTAGAAATGGCTAGTCAACTAATTAGCCTGGAGGAAGGAGGTTTAACAAAAAGTTTTTCTAAAAGGCTGCATAGCAGTCTTGGGAAATATGTTTGTCACCAAAATAATATAAATTAAATTCTTTGACAATGTCACCTTGAGGTAACTGCCATGCTGACTAATGGAACATGCTCTCTCTTCTGGTTACTGCACATTTTTCTTAATGAAGCTATGGAAAACAATCTTTTGACATATTTTACCACTACATACATCAACTCTGAAACTGATAAGAAAATGTTGTCATTTTTCAAGACAGTCAAGGTTCAAATAAAGTTAGATTTGACAAGATTTTCTCTTGTGTTCTTACCACTTTTCCAAAAAAACACTGTTTTCAGCTTGGGTATTTTGCCTTCACTGTGAGTTAATATCTTTTTTGATATTCATGTCACTATGAGAATAGCAAGTTATTCTATTTTGAACGATGATCAGAGCAGAGGAAGAAAAGTTACCTTTCAATGTACTGTCTATGCTGCAAATTATATTCATTATAAGTGGTAAAACTGAAAAACAAGCAAACAGATCTGCACCAGAACGATGCATACAAAGACAGATTGTAGGTAATCACGTTCCCACTAAAATTAACAAAAAAATCGTGAGTATTCAGTTAAGGAATACACAGGAAAAAATTATCAACCTTGGCTGCAGCAGGTTAAGCAACCCAGTCCATAACGCCTAGAGAAATGGCTTGTTTTTCCGTGATGAGGAGGAGCACCACTTCTACTGAAATATATGAGAGATATAGGTGCTCATCATTTTTGACACGCCTGTTCATTAGCTGCCTACATTTTGATTGTACCTCTAAATAAACAGGTTGCTAGGTGAGTTAAGTTTAAGGACACAGTCTGGATCAGTCATTTTACATCTCATGCTTCATTCTGTACATACTGATTTTCCTAGAGGAAATCTAAGGGCATTTATATTGCTAGCTGCAATATAAACTTTCCATGATTGCAAAGCAAATGTTCTACTCCGATGAGGGCAGCAGTAACAGCAGTAAATTTCTGGAGTGAACTGAATATCCCATTACCCCATTTAACTGGCTGAGAAGACTTCAGTTTAGCTAATACAGTCCACTCCAGCATCTCTGGGGAAGGGGTGAAAACGGTTAAGTCAACATCATTAACGGCCAGAGACAGAAATGAATGGACTTAGCTCCTCAGCAACTCTATGTGATAACTTTTCCACTCATTGTAAGAATGGAGTGGAATTTCATCTAACTGTGCAATTATTTATCGTTACAAGAGCTAAAAAAATGTTTTTTCTCATGAGGCTACTGATAATAATAGCTTTTAAATTATACTCTCAGAAGTTGTTTCAGATCTTTGTACTTCTGTAAAACAGTTAGTTACTTATGTAAGCATCAACATTTTGAAGAGAAATGCAATATATTTTATATGGAGATATGGAGATATCCAGACTGAATCTGAACACTGTAAAAGTAACAGAATCGAAAACAAGCTAAGAGAAAATACTATTATAAAGGAAAATATCCATTTTCTTATAACTATGAAATAATATGAATTCACAAAAGCAACTAAGAGAAAATCAGGTCTGCTATAGGAAAATATAAAATGAATGGCATCATATACTTTTGGCAGGGAATTGATCATTGCTGAGCACACTAAGAATAAATATTTTATAGTGTTAATCAATCTAAAAGTGCAATAGTAGGACCTGCTTATACATCTTTCAGATATCTTATAATTGCACGTTACAAATATTAAACATTTCAAAGTTTCAACATATTATGATTATTTCAATCATCAACGTATTGTAGAAGCTGTTCTTTCATTCTACAGGTGATTGTACTGTATTAGCCTCATTTCAGCTTAAACACATGGATTTTTATACTTTAATGATTTTCTCTTAGAATTGTTAAGAGATAGTTAACTGACTTTACATAATCCGAAATGTCATATTTTTGAAATTACAACGTTAAGAATCTGATTCTGCAAGAAAATAAAACACAATTCAGAACTGAATCCCTGCTTTCTCACAAAATCACTCATTAAAGGTTTATTTACAAAGTTACTCAGTTTTACAAAGATACTAAACAGAATAGCTTACTCTAAACTTTAAGAATATATCTAATGTCTCATGGCTGTTAAGTATTTCAAATAATTTCATTTTACTCACCGACAGTCACATCCTATGTAAATAAAAGGGCTGTTGGATTGTTTTCAGAGACTTATAAATTGTGCGTGTGATTGTCTCTGCTATACGAAATGAACGTCTTTAGTCTTATTCTAGCCATGGTCAGCTAGAAAAACATCATAATCCATTTGCTTAATCTCAGCTAATGCTAATCACCAGACTTGGTTCACCTTAGGCTGCCATGAGATGTCTAACATCTCATTCAGTAAGTCCTCTTATATTATTTTTACTGTCTATTTACCTTTTAAATATTTCATTTCTGCAACTTTATTTTTCCTTAAACTGCTCACAAGATTAACAGAACCAGACAAAATAAAAACAAGAGTAGGGAATGTAGGTCATCTAATCTATCTTCTTATCAGTGCAGGGTTATCCTCCAAACTAATTTTTATTGTAATATAAAATTTAAATGTGTTTAGGAATGGAGCTTCTACCACTCACCTCCTGAGACTATTTCTTAACTATTTCCTGGCATTACCTCTTCATTTTGTTCAGTCATCTGGTGAAAACCATCCTCTTTGTGCTACAGATTCTATTTTTCTCTATTCAAAATTCACGCTGAAAATAACTCCTGTTTCTTTCCTCACAGCACTCAATAAACATGACACAGTCCAGTGGAGTTTGCCATCCGTGAGGCATTCTTCAGTTCAACATATTGTAGAAATGACAATGCAGCTATTATACATATGTGTGAATGTAATTTATGAAGAGATAGGAGGATTATGTTTTTCATGTCTTAGTTATACCACAGATTTTTTTTTTTCTTTTTCCATTGGAAATACCATGTCCCCAGATGGTAACTGTTCCATCTAATTACTACCAGATGTATTATCTGATTTGGAGCTTCTTTACTTAATCAGGCTTACGGCAAGCTCTCAAAACTAGCTGTGTAAAACAGCAACAAAAACACTGCTCAGTGGACAGTACCACCATAATGTTTTTTTAACTGTTTCACTTAGCAGTGAATTTAATGTTTACAGAAGTTTTAAAATGTTGCTTTAGTTCCACTTCAGTATAATATATAGGCACATATTGTATAATTATATTGCACAGATATTGCTACAAACATAGCTTTCTTAAATACTAAGTTCTTAACATTTGTCAGCTAATGTACTGATTATATTCCAGCTAGTATTCTGTTCCTTACACTTGTTCCCCTTCTCCAATAGGTTTTATTGGCTATCAGTTTAGTGAACATATTTATCATTACAAATAACATCTGAGTATTTGCAAGTTCTGTGCTGATACTTCCTTTAGCCTGCTCACAATATCGCCCTTGGTCCCAATTTTTTTACAAGAGCCATGGTGAATAGTTTGTTTAATGGGCAGGGATGCAATTTGGCTTTTACTATTTAAAAATCATTACACTTAATATATATAGGGTTTTTTTGGATTCTTGACTATTATAGGCATTATAATTATCTATCTACCCACAGAAATATATATTAATTAACTATATTTCATCTTTTTCATTGTGAAATCTTTCAAGATTTTATTTTTTTTCTTGCATGTTTACATACACCTGGGTTTTAAACCTGGGAAATAATTCCTCTATGGACTAATACAGAAATAAGATTTACATAAAAATGCAGGGTAGGATTTTTCTCACCTAATTTCAGCCATCTAAAAAGTAGACTTCTAAATCAGCTGTTCAGGCTTATCCATGGAGAAAGGTCCATTGCTTATGTTTGGTTTGTTCCACCTTTTTTACAACAGGATAAATCAAGTTTTACAAGCGTCTGTTTTTCTCCAGTGACTACTTTGGAGTCTAGTCAACTAACAGCTCACCTTTAATTAGCAAGTTAGATGGAATGAATCACGCCTTTAGACAAGTGGAACTCAAAAAAGGAAAAGTAAAA